GGATCCTGCTCTCATTCGCACACTCACCGCCCACACCACCACCCGCCTCCAAACGGGACTCGCTTCCCCGAGGGGACCCCACGAAGACGCGGCACTCTGCACCAACACGGCAAGGCCTCGACACTCAAGCTCATCCCATCCCGAGCCCTTCCGTCACAGAGCCTCACCTCAGCCCAATCAGAGACCGCCCACCCCTGCCAATTCTCTCGCGGACGTTGGCCGACGTGCGTCCTCTTCTTCCAGCCTGGGAAAATTGCCTCCTTGGGCGTCTTCCTCGTCCCGATGCCCAGAGACAAGACGCCGCCTTGAGCCCATCCCTGCTCCTCGGCGACCGAGTCGTTGACGGGCAGGGGGGCCACCGCCCGATGTCTTCCCGCCCCCAGAATGTCGACGTCCATATCACGGCCGTCCGTCCCACGTTTTTTCTCGACACTCGTCCAGCCTGATCCTGAACTCGAGCCTCACCTGCAGACAGACGACGACGGCACCATGGCCACCACCGACGACTCCAACAAGCCGCCTGTCGACCAGGTCGAGCACGCGCAGCCCCCCAACGCCAACCACCGCCGCGATGCCGCCGCCGAGCTGCTGGGCAAGTCCGGCACCTCGCCAGAGCACCGCGTCGTCGTCACCGCCGACGACGACAAGCGCGTGCTGAGGAAGATCGACATGGTCATCCTGCCGCTGATGCTCTTCGTCTACTTCCTCCAGGGCATCGACAAGTCCACCCTCGCCTACGCCTCCGTCTTTGGCCTCATCGAGGACACCGGGCTGGTTGGCGACCAGTACTCCTGGCTTGGTTCAGTTGTGTATCTCGCCCAGCTCGTCATGCAGTTCCCCCTTGCTTGGGCTCTCGTGAAGCTGCCCATCGGCAAGTTCACCAGCTGCATGGTCGCCTTCTGGGGCGTGACCCTGGCCTGCATGGCTGCTGCGCACAACTTTGGCGGTCTGCTTGCCGCGAGATTTTTCCTCGGCACGTTCGAAGCGTCTGTCGCGCCCTCCTTTGTCGCCATCACCCAGATGTGGTGGCGCCGTCGCGAGCAGACCCTGCGCATCAGCTACTGGTACGCCATGAACGGCTTCACCAACATGGTATACCTGATCCTCCCCTTCAGTACATCGGCAATCCTCTAACACCACCCCAGTTCGGCAGTCTCATCACCTACGGCCTCGGCCACATCTCCTCCAAGCTCAAGGAGTACCAAATCATCTTCCTCTTCTTCGGCGTCATCACCGTCGCCTTCTCCGTCCTCATGTTCTTCTACATGCCCGACTCTCCCGTCGAGGCAAAGTTCCTCAACGACCATGACAAGGTCATCGCCGTCGAGCGCCTGCGCATGAACCAGCAGGGCGTCATGTCGCGCGAATGGCGATGGGACCATCTCTGGGAGAGTTTGCGCGACCCAAAGACGTGGATCTGGTTCGCCCTTGTCTTTTCCATCTCGTTAGTCTCACTGTCTCCTCACTCCGCCCCTTCATTAACTAACAAACCACAGCATCCCCTCCGGCGGCATCTCCACCTTCGGCCCCCTCATCGTCAAGTCCTTCGGCTTCGACTCCTTCCAGACCATCCTCTTCAACATCCCCTTCGGCGCCGTCCAGCTAGTCTCCACCGTCGGCGGCTCCTGGATCGCCACAAAGATCCACAAAAAGGGCCCCGTCATCGCCGGCCTCTGCGTGCCCCCCATCGTCGGCTGCGTCATGCTCATGGTCCTCCCCAACTCCGCTAGCAAGCGCGCCGCCCGCCTCGTGGGATACTACCTCATCTCCGTCTACCCAGGTATCACGCCCCTCATCTACTCGTGGTCCGCCGCCAACACCGCCGGCGACACCAAGCGCAAGTGCACCTCGGCCGCACTCTTCGTCGGCCAGTCCGTCGGCAACGTCGTCGGGCCTTTGCTGTACAAGCCCTCCGAGGCGCCGCAGTACGCCCGCGGCCTGAGGTCGAACCTGGCGCTGTACTGTCTGATCATTGTCATGGTCGGTGCCACGAGCGCGTACCTTGCGTTCTTGAACAAGTCGCACAGCAAGCGCCGCGTGGCGATGGGCAAGAGCGCCATCATCATCGACACGAGTCTGTTCTCGGCGGCTGAGGCGGAGCGGATGCAGGCCGCGGGGCAGTTGACGGGCACTGGAGACGGGCAGGAGATGGCTGCGGCCGGGGACGAGGGCACCACAGCTGGGGATGTTGGTGCGAGGGCGTTTGAGAATCTGACTGATTTGCAGAATGAGGAATTTGTCTTTGTTTTCTAGAGAATCTGTGAGAGTAGAGCGCGATAGATTCCCGTGAGAATACGACATTTGCGTTGAATTAAACACTTGAATGGTGCTGTTGAGAAGTTCATGTTTGACGAGTTGTGACTGGGACATTTCGAACACTCGTGCATCATTCAGGTAAGACAACGAAAAGAAGGGATGCCTTGGCACACAGAACGAGTGGGACTAAGAGGTATTATCGCCCCCAAGGATTCTTCAAGCTACTGATGTTTTGATCTTGAGCAATGAAACAGCGAGTTAGTTAGGTCCCCATACCATTGGATATAAAAAGGGGCACGTACGCAATCGCTCCGTGGAGTCTTGTAAGAAATCAGGGCTGTTGTTGGTCCGTTTTGGAGTTTAGGCCAACTTGGTCTTGCACAGATTTCTAATGATTTTGTGTCTAGATGCAGACGTTGGCCTATTCTGCAAAGTTGATTGATTCTAATTTTGCTGCTGGAAGGGGTGCATATATAATGAGTATGTTTAGCTGGTAGATCGAGGGGATTTGTTGCGCGGGGGTGGTGGTGGACGGTGGGTTGTATTTGGTCACGGTCCCATCCAAGGTGTCGTCCGGGCAGGTTGGTTTTCTTTTCTTTTGGTGGTTGTGAAGTCTCTGGAGGTTGTGGAGCGTTTGAATCAGAGGTGGAGGTTTGCTGAAAGAGCGTGTGGTGTATCGTTAGGGGGTGAGCAGATGTCTCTCTTGGTTCGGGTGCACGGCTGATAGTTATTTTGATGTGCTGCTGTGACATGTTTTTGTCCCAGACTTGGGGAGGAGCCACTGGGAAGATGTACGATGTGCTTGGTCTTCATCTGAGTTCTTGACTCTGAGGGGGTTTTGGAAAGTTGTGTGTGGTGGAGTATGATGTTGAGTGGAGTGTGTGACTAAATGGGACAACATTGATATTCCTGCCCAAGTTCGCGGGTCAAAGATGAGATAACGTGGAACCTGGTACTCTTGATGGAGATACGCGGGACGTGATGCGAGCTCTTCTTTGCTCTTCATGCGGACTCACTGTGCTCGATTCGGTCACTATTGGGGAATGTGTCACGTCTCCGGCTGCACCAAAGTCCCGATGGTTGCGGAGATGAAATGGAGGTTCTTTTGTGGCGATGACTTGCAGGTTCGGCGGACTGTGCGGTACCTTGTGATACTTATTGAGGGAAAGCCAAGAAATGCTAACAGGAAAACTAGACATTTCCTTATTGTAAGGAATTCAATTTTTGTGAGCACATTCTATCTGCGTCGTGTTGCGGCTCCCGATGTAATGCTGCATTGTGAAATGCTGGACAGAGGAGGTTGGAGCTGTTGCACCCAATATTGGAAACCTTTCTTTCGACGGATTATATGCGATGAAACTAGGATGCCCGCTCTTTTGGTCTTCGTTAAGCAACGGGGATGACATATGAGAAGGAGAGAATGGTCGCTGTGGACCCTTCGCTTTCCAACGTGTCTGCTTTTATCTGCTCATGCAAAACAATGGGTACTGGAGCTGTTGTTTGTTGTTGCCTTCATGATGCTACTTTGATGGTTAGAATCCGCAGTCGGGAGGTATCTGGCCCTCGCCCGCCGGATGGTTTCGTGAACGTGATTGCAATACAGCAGAAAGAAAAGAAACATTCAGATGAACCGCACAGGGGAAGAGCTTATAGGCTTACCAGGAGGACTGATTAATTGCTCACTAGAAAAGGCTTATTGCCACCTTGACGGAGATCATCATATAACTTGGCTGCAGATTGGGTGATTGATGATGTCCTCGATCCCTCGCGCCGAGTTGCCGAGGACTAACGAAGTAGGAAAAGGCTGAACGAGTACTTGCAATTATCTAACACAAAAACGATTTGAGGAAGAAGAATAAACCTTAGCACGTTCCAACCAACGCAATCATAGATTCGGAAAATCTTCACCAGGTTCAACCCAGGCGTACCCCACGTTGAGATCCTACGCTGTCATGCTTGAAAGCGCCTTACTACACTGTAGTGTAAGTGGGATCTAGTTGGTCTAGAAATCTATGCACCCGCAGCGCTATGCCCAAGTAAGAAGTTCCGGTCGGGTACGAAGCATCCGTGCACGATACTTCCCTCCACTAGAAGATACTTCGAGTACCGCAGCACGGACCTGTAAGAGAGACCAGCATCATCCCGATTGACATGGATCAGATACCCGCCGTCCGCATTTGGTCCTTGTCTCGGTACTGATCGGACGGCTGACTGAAGAGGTAGGAAGCTTATTCTGGAGCTTATTTCGACTTGGTCACTTGATCCATTTGGCGACCGCGAGCACATTTAATCCCATCGAGTGCGAGTGGACTGCAGTACACCAGCGTGTAGGAGCGATAGCGATACCAGGCGAGTAATAAATTTTGTGGTTGATTGGAATTGGAGAAAGACTAGAGGTCCAAGTACTCCACTCATACTCAATGGGAAAGTGCCGCTTTTCAACGACACCTTGTTCAAGCAGGTATACTTCAAAAATATCAAGTCAAGAGTTGTAGTTATTAGACGACAAGAGGCAACTCACCGTCGTCATATGGGCAGCAGAGGCACAGAATTGAAGGATCACGCAAAGACTACGAAATATTCCATACGGAAAGATGCAAACAAGATCATTTATTGATTAACTCGAATGATAATAGATAATCCGAAGAGTTCAACACGGAAGTGTCATACTCAATACTGACAACCAGCGAGGAGAATTAAAAAAAAGGCGAAAAAAAAAAAAACAAAAAAAAAACAAGACCCATTTACACGAAGCTCCCTATCCAGGCGGTAACCCATCCGTCACCCAGCCAAGCCATCTCCTTAGTGACTGCGTACCAGACGATTGTGCGCAATGAGGAGGCTGTGAGCTGGGTATTGACAAAAGTGATTCATCACCCGGTGAGCTACTTACTAACACGGACAAAAGAGGGTAACCCTGAAACAAAATCTTGAAGCCACCAACAAACAAAACTGATCAGACTGGGAAGAATGCATGACTTACTTGCCCTGTCAAAGTCAGAAGGACTACTAAACACGATGAAATGAACACATGAGATAACACGATAATGCGGGTGCAACCGCAAGCACATCAAGGCATACCGTCATCTCCTCCTGTCGACTGTGGGCCTTTGAGCTCGGGCCGCATAGAGCTCATCACCATTCTCTTCTCAGCCACTCCGATAAGTTGAAGCTGTGCAGCGGTAGCGGGCTTAGACGCTCGAGACGATCGGCAAGGCGTTTGGTCATAATTCCGGCTCTCATCGACCGTCTTCTGGCGGAAACCCGACGGATGGACGGAAGACTGTGCGGCTGTGGGGGGCTGGCTGCTCGGGGGCGGAGTCAAGACAGTTGTGGGATTAGTCCCCGACGAGGCCTTGGCGAGTGCGAGTCTCTCGGCAGCAGGCTTTGAGACGCGAGACTGGTTGCCCTCGTTGACGATGACACCAAGCGTGTTGGGAGTCACAGCCTGAGAAACGGTGCCGCTCCGCGACGGAGTGGCGGGGGAAGAGAATGAGGATGCGTTGGAGGCCTGACCCAAAGTCGACAAAGGAGGAAGACCGGTCGGAACGAGGTTCCCACTCGATGTTGTTGGACTCGGGAATGAAGGGCTCATGCATTGAGACGGTGCGGTGAAAGCATCAGATCCGGGGGAAGCTGAAACCCCAGTGAATGAAGCAGCAGATCCAGTGAAGGGAGAATCAGCAGTTCCGGTGAAGGAAAATGCCGACTCGGAGAAGGAAGCAGCAGCAGATCCAGGCAAAGATGAGTTCGAAAGGAAAGTTTGGCTGTTCTCGCGGTCACTGGTGCGAGGATACACCGGAGTCAACGACGCGGCGACGTCCAAAGATTGGATGGTAGCGGGCGAAGACGTGCCAAAGTACTCGACCATACCCTCCCCAGGAGAGGCGACTGGCGATGGTTGATCAGTGTTGTGCACCCTTGGAGTAGGCGCTGTGGCAGCAGGACTGATGGGAATGGTTCTAGCGCGATTGTTGGACTTGTTCGTTGCATGCTTGGATGAAGTTGCCTTCTGGACTTTCTGTTTGTCGGACTTGGCCGTTGACTTGTCGGATGGCTTGGGCTCCGTAGCCTTCTGAGTGTTGGCTGACTCTCCCTCCGCAGCCTTCCGCTCCTGGAGTCGCTTCCTTCTCCCAGATCGCGAGGACTTCGTCTTGGCGGTGTTGGTGGAAGAATTGGTGTTGGTGTTGGTGTTCTTGCTGTTGTCTGTGCGCACTCGGGTCTTTGGCCGGGTCGAACCAAGCACAGCCGTACTTGCCAGTCGCTTGCGCGTGCCCTCCTTGCACTGTTGCCTGTTGATGCTCTTCCCGGCTGCAGCGTTGCGAGCGTTCGGTGCTGGCGCCGATGTGGTCGACCTGGCCTTGTTACAGCCGGACTGAGGCTTGGAGGAAGCGTTGGCGCTCTTCGGAGCCAAGGGCTTGCGCACTGAGGATGTCTTAGAGCTGCGTGCAGCAGTCGGAGCACCCTTTCCCTGCGGCTTCGAAGCGGATGCGTTGGAAAAAGCGTTGGTGCTCTTAGGGGCCAATGGCTGGCGTGCTGCTGGTGTCGTAGAGGCGGACGCAGCAGTCGACGCAACAGATATCTCTCCCGGTACCTCCGCAGGCTGAGATTTGCTCTCAATAGCGGAAAATACTTGGTCATAGTCCGAGTCATTGAGGTCGACATCGTTGTACATGTCCTCATTGTCCCCAACAGAGTCCTTAGTCGAGCCGGTCAGGTCAACATAATGCGGCGCATTCGCCGGAGGCCGCTCATTCTGCTGTTTGAAGGAACGTATCTTGCCGATGTACCACTCCACGTCCGCGTTGTCGATTTCTGCACAGAACCGTCTCATATCAGCAACTGTTTCGGCAAAGCATCTCGGCGAAGTGACCGAGTGGCGGCCCAGACAGTTGCCACATTGCTTCTCCTTCTCCTTATCCTTGACGGGGCACTCTTTGCTAGGATGATCCTTGGTGCAGTTGAAACACCTTCGTGGGAAGAGGCAGCTATCTTCTAGATGCCAAGGTCTGCCACAATTGCTACAGAAGATTGCGATTGCTCGGATATCAATTGGCCTGATGAAACTATTTAGCTACCATGCACCAATAAGCTGAGAAACGATTGAACCCACCTAGCCATTGCCAATCGGTAATTCACGTAGAAGTCATCTTTTGCGGTCTCGTATGCTTGAAGAAGCTTCCAGGCTTGCTCGACGTCGGAAAAGGAGACGATAAGCCTCGACCATCTGACTGTCACGGAGTGAACTTGAATGCCAAACGGCTCCTCGAACCAGTCTCTCCGACCCCTCATGTTGCGTTCAGCCTTGCAGCCATAAAATATGATCTCGACATAAAACCGGTTTTCTGCCGACTGGAAAGTGTCGATGGTGACGTCGAGGACTGCCTCCAGGTCTCTTGCCTTGCTCGACAAGGACAAGCAAAGCTCCTCTTCGAAGGGGTCATTCGATCTTTGGAAGCGCTGCATGGCTTCCGCACTCGTGAAGTTGAGCCACAAGGTGCCGGCCTTGCATCCGATGCCCTTCAATCCCGCCCAAGTCGCGTCTCGCGCACTCAAGGATCCGATAATATCGGCCCTGTCGCCGGAGAACTTGTCCAAGGCGTTTGCAGGCCTCACCGTCAGCCTCAACGTGTGGGGGGGTGTAGGGACCCGCCTTCTAGGCTTCGGTCTGAGGAAGTGGTCGAGGTCGATCAGCTTGTTGCGGATCACATGGAATTGTGCTACTGCTGGATGCACCCCAGGCCTGTGTTTTCTTTGGCGGGGATTGCTGTTGTCGTTGCCTCGAGCGGCCCTGCGGTACAGTCAGTAACGGACAGCTTGAAGACAGACGCGCCGCAGAGAGCTGAGAGATACTTACCGATGTCGGGTGCTGACATTAGACACGCTGAGGCAGGGAGAATTTGGCGCGTAGGACAAACCTCCCGGGGAGAACGGGACGAAGCCCAGAGCGGGGCTGGAGTGGTGGCTGCCGTGCAGAGGGCTCATCATGCGGATTGGTGTGGTTGGCAAACGAGTCGGGGAAGGCGTCTGGCTAGGCGGCAACCAAGTTGTCTGCGAGGACATGGGCAAGACGGGCTGGCTCGGGGGGGTGATGGTCTGGGAGGAGTTGAGATGAGGAGAACCATTGTGGACAGGTGATGCCATGTGGTGAACTGAAGATGGCGTATACTGGACGAGTGATGCCGTGTGATGAAAAGGTGTTGCCATATGATGAACAGGCGATGTCTGATGGTGGAAAGGGAAGGCCGTGTGGCGACCGGGCGATGCTGTGTGGTAAACGGACGATGATGGCGTATACTGAACGGGTGATGCGGCCATGTGGCGAGTGGGTGATACCAAATGATGGACAGGCGTTGTCATATGGTGAACGGGAGATGCCGAATGGTGGAAAGGGGAGGCCATGCGGTGAACCGGCGATGCCATATGATGGGAAAGCAATGTTGGCACCCAAGGGCCGGACGATGCTGGCGTTTGGTTGATGGGTGACGCCGAACAGTGAACGGGAGATGCCATATGGTAAGAGGGTGCGATTGGTGGTTGATTGGCTGCCATGTGAAGCGCCGAAGCGGGAGGCGGCAGGCCGGCAGGCGGATACCCCATGTGGGTGGGCATCGAAGGTTGGGGCCAGAAGTTTACCGGGCTCACTCCCGGAGACTGCTGCCACGTGCCGGACACCGGAGCCGAGTTCGAAGGCACAAATCCACTCGGCCGAGAGGGGGCCGGCATGATCCATCGACCCCCATTCGAGGCTGCATCTTGATGTTGATGCATGGTGGATTGTGGGATTGAACTCCAAATGGTGAAAACCAGTTGTCATGTACCAAGGCGTCAAGTACCAAGTGGCTGCAAGCAATGAAAAGAATATCAAAGAGGAAGGTCAAAGAGCCTCAAATGACAACATGAGAGAAACAGTTGAGTGGCCTCACTGAAACAAACGAGGATAATAGAGTGAACAAAACGACCGGAACAAGAAAGTGTTCAACACGGGTTGCAAGAGTTGCAAAGATGTCGGATGAAGGCGTGATTGTGTTGGCTTGAATGGAAGCATCTTATGGAATGTGTAGCAGTATTAAAGCAACAGAGCAGGTTCATCATTGACGGCTTAGAGAGGACATCACAATCGGCAAAGACTCAAGTCAGGCAGACGGAGACGCGTCTGAGAATCGTAGCATCCCACTAAACAATAACAACACAATCATCATTAAACTGGCGCAAAAGGCCAAAATCGAACAGAACAGACAGAAAAGAGACAAAAGTAAACAAAGATGAAGATACACGAACGCGTCCATCATGAGACGATTCAAGACTGAAACTAACTGAACGAGTCTGCCCCTCTTTTGCAATTAGCGTTGTGGCGATGCTCAGAGAAACGGACTTGTCCGTCTCCGAAAGTCGGAGAGGGTAGACTCGGCCCGCAGCGTCGTGGAGCAGCAGCTGTCTGTGGTGGATATCGGCAATCCTGAAAAAAGATTGCCGAAACGCACGTGAGGCTGCGCTTAGCCCTAGTGAATGTAACCCAACCCTCCTGTTCCGTGTGCCTCCACCAATACGACCAGCAGGGGGTGTGAGTTAATCCCTCATGGTCCGTCCGCACGATACGCCTTTTGCCGATCTACTCTCCAGATGTTGTGCGCGAATTGTTACGCGGTATGGTTCCATTCCACTGGGTCTCCCCCCCCCCCTCCAAGTTTCCACTCCCCCGCCTGGGGTCGTGAGACCGCATCACGAGCGGGAAAAGTGGAACCAGCTCCGACCCCACGGTCTCGGAATAGTCGACATCTAAGCTAGCAAGCCTCCGAAACAGGCTCATCTTGGAGGGGGCTCAGCAGGGCCAAAATCTAGCGATTCTCAGTGCGTCTTCCCAAGCTGCAAGATCGCACACTCGGGGTTCCTATTCGAGGAAATCCCGTCCATGAAAGCAGCCCGAGTGACTGCGATACATGTCGGTACAATCTGGGAGTTGGCGATACAAACGCACATGAATCATGACATATCGCGTGCTTGCTAAGGGTGGCTTGGTACGCAGACCCCTGTCCGCAGCATCCTTAGCTCCCAAGTCATACGTGGGAGGATGTCATGCCATCCGGTTTGGAGCGAAGGTCCGACGGCGAGGGCATCGAGAACCGCCTTCACTGACTTTGTCACGACGTGGCCTCATTGCGTGCGTGTCGAGTCACCGTTGGTGAACATAAGAGATCAAACGGATCCGTTCTTTTCCGCCACAACATCGCCAACCATCTACCAAAATCTGTGTCGTGCGTTTTTTGCACTCGCTCTTTGGTAACCTCGTCTTGTGATCATTCTTTCTTCTCTATTGCAATTATCCCTCTGGACTGCATACGCTCTCTTCATTCAAGACTTTAGGATCATATCATTATTCATCTCATCATTTCTTGGCCTACTTCTCTTGCCCGCTTGGCTTCCTCCTGGGTCACTGCCCCCATTGTCTTCGATCTCTCTTTCCATTTTGGAAGGTCACTTGAGAGCATTCTATTTTACTAGGTAGGCACAATTGCCTCGCCGACGCCTTCCTCCGCTAGCGCCTGCCTCGTCAATATCGCCCATCCACCTTACTGGCTTCTTTCCCAGCGCGCTTTCCTCGCCAATATATTTTTGTCGTCAACATCTCTTCTTCGCAAGCCTTTTTCTCAACCTCTGCGAAGTACACAGCCAACGAACTCTAAGATGACGAGGATTCCGGCATGCCCACCGGCCACCACGCGGGAACTGCAAAACTTTGTAAGTCATGCTGGAAACGTAGCTTGCTATGCCTACTGACACGATGATTTCGCAGGTAACGTCGCGTCAGGCCCGAGCTCCCGATATAGGGCCCGACATCTTATCGACATGGATCCTCCCTCGGCCACAGAAGAGACCTCATTCCCAGGTTCGCTATGAGCAGCGGCGGAAGGTAAGACTACCCGACTGCAAATCGCAATACTTTCGAAGCAATTCTAACAGCCCGACAGAAGCGTCGCCTCGCCAGAGAGAAAGGCATCGAGGAAGAGCCCAAGGACGAGGACTTGTTCGTCATGACCATGAACGTCATGCACAGTCGCCTCCGGCTCAAGCGCCTTGTTCAAGATCAGCTTGAGGCTGTCCACCCTGCCGACATCATTTCTCTACAGGATGTTCCGCAATCTCTTCCATCAATGCGTCTGTCCGGCTATAATCTCGCCTATCACTCGGACCGAGTCATCGAAAAGGGCGAGGATGGCCAGCCTGTTTTGGACGACAAAGGCCGACCCAAGGAGATCATGGAGCTGCGATACGTCGCCTTCTTGGTTCGCACCTCGATACCACTGGCCAACTGGAGGGCCTTCTGGGACGAGGGCGCGAACAAGGGCCTCCTGGCTACTGCGGTTCTCGAGACGGATTACGGCCCAAGAACCATCTTGAATCTCTACAATCACCTAGAGAGGGCGAACTTTGACGAGATCCCTTTCGAAGACGGTGTCATTTTCTGCGGGGACATTAACGCTCACGACCCACTTTGGGGCGGCGAGAAGACGGAGCAGAATTCCTCCGGTAAGAAGGCCAGACAACGACTGGACGCGGCCGAGATGATCAATGTTGGGCCCCGTGGTGTCCCTACTTACTACGGTGGCGATGCCAATACGACAATCGATGTCATCTGTCTTGGCAAGAGCGCTCACTCGTTCTTCAAGCGTAGCGAGGTGTTGGACCACAGAGACTTTCAGAGGGATCATCGCCCCTTGCTTGTCGTGCTGCATGGGGGCCCTCATCGGGATGACAGCATTCGCTACCTCTGGAGAAAGGTCTCAGAGCAAACCCTCGCTTACACCATTCCTCGGTACCTCAAGCTTCTCGGCAACCCACCTCTCAACACTCAGGCTGATATCGACCGTCACATCGCCAGGCTTCTGCGTTTACTCTCCGCCGCCATCGCGGACTGCGTCCCAACCGTCAAACGAAATCCTTTTCGCCCAAACACAGTAAAACGCACTGTGACTTCAGCCATGCAACGTGACATGGCACTAGAGCGCAAAGCTGCTCGTGCACTGTCACGCCTATGCCCAAGGGACAGAGGATACAAGAAGACGGTGCGTCGGTACGAAGCTCTCCGCCGAGGTGTCGAGTATGCCATCCGGACTCAAAATCGCAAGGGCTTTCGAGAGCACATTGCGGACACTTGAAAAGGATTGGATGTGTTTAACACCCTCAAGCAAGGTGTTCGTTGGGCAACCAAGACAGAGCCTGCTCACTCGCCACCCTTGCAGAACCCCGACGGAACGTTGTGCGAGTCGGATGCGGAAAATGCAGCATGCTTCAGAGAGACTGTCTGGGGCCCGGCGACGAGCACAAACCCTTCTCCCTTGGAACGGCCGGTCGAAGACCCTTCCAGACCACAGCATTTTTCTCCACAACATCTTCGTCAAGGCGACCTCAAGTGGGCTCTAGAGGCCGCACCCACTGGCAAGGCATGCGGCCCTGATCAGGTTGCTGTCGACGTCTTCAAGAAGTGTCCAGGCGTCTTTCACAATCACTTGACCCGTATCATGAACGCGTGTCTCCGGTTGGAATACCACCCAGATGAATTCAAGCGGTCGATAACTGTCGTGCTACGGAAGCCCGACAGGACGGACTTTTCTCTTCCTAAGAGTTGGCGTCCTGTTGCGTTGCTTTCGTGCCTTGGGAAGCTCCTGGAGAGGGTTGTTGCGAAGCGGATTCAGGAGCTTGCTGTGAAGCACAGACTCATCCCCCGGATGCAATTTGGGTTTCCTGGACGCTGCACCACCAAGTGCATTGAGTCTCTTTTGTCCCCGGTCTACAGAGGCTTTTGCGTCAAGACCAGGAACAGGAAGAAGTGGAGGTCGACACTCCTCAGTCTCGACATATCAGGCGCCTACGACCACGTCAATCGTCCCGAACTCCTTCGGATCCTGGTACGTAAGGGCAAGCCCGATTGGATTGTCAATTTCATTTGGTCCTTCCTTTCTGACAGGAGGACAATGCTCCGGTTTCCCGGCTATGTCTCAGAAGAATTTTTCGTTAACACTGGAATTCCTCAAGGCAGCCCCCTGTCTCCCATCCTCTTCGTCTTCTTCTCCGCCCCGATGCTAGAGAATTTCGAGCGGCTCCATCCCGATCTCAACGTCTTCGCCTTTTCCTACGTCGACGACTCTTATATCCTTGTCACATCCAGGACATTTAAGGAGAACTGCGAAATTCTCGAGATGTATCACGAGCAGGTTATGGAGTGGGCAACTCCCAATGGCATTCGGTTCGATCCTGGGAAGTACAAGGTGATGCACTTCACTCGTAATGAGAAATGCGACTTGTGCCCTAAGATTTCTGGTCTGACTGTCAAACACGTCATCAACAACTCAGTCGACCCAGAGGCTCCGAAGCACCTTCGAATTCTTGGCGTCATGGTGGATCCGGCGTTGAAGTGGGATGCCCACATTGCCAACGTAAGTGACCCATCGCTTCTCAATCGTTACAATTGTCAGAGACTAACTATTTGGCTTTGAAGCTTGAGTCCAAAGTGAAGAAGAAGCTGGGTTTTCTGAAGCGGATCTCTAGCTCCGTCATGGGTCCTAACCTCATCGATATGCGAAGGCTGTACATCACGAGCGTGCGACCCATCATCACCTACGCCTGTGCTTGCTGGTTCGTTCTCGCCGATGGCAAGGGTCAGCAATTCCGAATCACAAAGAAGCTCATCGCGCGCCTGGATCGGCTTCAGCGCGAATGCCTTGTGAACATCTCTGGTGCCTACAACCAAACACCAGTCATGGTCCTGCAGAAGGAACTCAACATCGAGCCGATAGAAGTCGCGCTCCACCGGATCGCCATGGCCCATCGAGTCCGCAACACCAACACTCTGGAGGGGGAGAGGATGCTGAAGGTTGCGCGCCGTCCCTTTCACCGCATGCGGTCCTTTGCGTGCTTTGATCTACATCCATATTGGGTGGCATATCAACAGGCTGGGCTCGTTCGTGATGAGATTGTGCAACACTACGGGCTGGAACGTTCCGTTCGTCTGGGGCGAAACGTCGCAGGATGGTTCAATCAGTACCTTCGCCAACAGGGTCTTCTCAGGAGCGCCTATCTCTGGGCAGAGTTCGCTGAAGAGCATGCTCTCAAAGCGCCTCGAACATGCGGTTACGAGGCGGTGACTTACATGGGAGAATGGTGCACCAACATTATGAGCATTCACATGGGCAAGACCAGAGCTCAGTCAACCATCCTCATCCACATGAGGACTGGCCACAATGGGCTCAACTCGAATCTGTACTCCATTAACGTGAGTGAGCCCCAAATCCCCCCTTCGGTTGCATTGCTAACCACATTCTTGCAGAAAGCTGAGACCAACATGTGTCCCTGTGGCGAGGGCGAGCACACGGTGGAGCATGTCTTATTCGACTGTGTGAGCCTGGAGCGGCAGAGGAGGGAACTGTTACCCGCGGACTATGGCAAATGCGACGATGATCTGCGGCGGCTGAAGCTGAGGTATCTCCTCACGCAGTGCGCGGGGCCGGTTTCGGCATGGGCGTTGAAGCACTTTGAGCTTGAGCAGTTCTCGTGGACGAAGGAACATCTTCCGATCAGGACCAGGGCTTTTCCATTTTCGTCTGGGACGAGGCATCGTCGTGTATGATATGCCTTTTCAGATAGGACAATGAGCACCATGTTTCCCTGTAACCCTCCCCCCACCCTGGGGTGTGAGTGGCCTGTCATTTGTTTGAATTTCTTGTATTGGTAAGTTTCTACGCCAGTTGACGATGCGCTTGCTGACGATGTAGGTCTTGGTACACTGCTTTATCCCTCAACTCTGTGAGTATGCTGCTCTCCTTTCTATTTCTTGCACGCTCTTTTCCTTTCTTGCGCTGCTTCTTTTCTGGATGTCGTCTGCCGTTTCGCTCGCCGTTTTCCGCCTTCGCCCGCCGTATTTGTCGACCACCATCTACCTCCACCTGCCATCCTGGTCCAACACCTCGGCCTACCAACTTTGTCGACCATCTTCGATCGCCATCCTCATCCAACACCTTCCGCCATCTTTGTCGACCACCACGTTCACTCTCATCTGCCATCCTTGGCCTTCATCCTCGTCCACCACCTTCGTCCACCACCTTCGTCTGCCATCCTCAACCACCATCTTCGTCGAACCTTATCCGCCGTCCTCATTCGACACAGTCTTCCGCCACCTTCCACGACTTTTGTCCACTGCCACCATCACCACCACCACCACCACCACCACCTTCGTCTGCCATCTCCGTCAACCAGTGCCGTGAGGCGTGCACTACGTTTGGTGCTTTCACAGCGGCATCTCTACAGACTGCCGTAATGGTGACAGCTACCACTCCATCAACCGGCCTCATCCGACACCGTTGTCAACCGTTCAGACACGCCGTATTCGTCGCCCACCTTCTACTGTCACCTCCGACCGCTGTCTTGCACTACGTCTGGCATCCTTTGTTCATCCGCACATGCACTCATGTTTCCTCTTCATTTTTCAATCTTGTATGAATGCCTCGTCGCTAACTTCTTGTGAGCATAGTCATCCTGCCCTCCTTACGCGATCTGAGCGATCGACAAGGCCCTCAGCAGAGCGGCTCTGTAGGCAGCATATTCATCGTGAGTACACTGGACTCTACAACTCATGGTGCTGTCTAACATGCTGAAGGCCCTGGAGAATCGTGGCGAGATTCCAATCCGTCTGATCCAGCCCCCCCTGTCGACAGCTCCTGTAGGCGCGGTATAGAGCTTGCGTCTCTGAGTCTGTTAGCCGCAATCCAGCCTGCTTCTGGAGGCGGGCACCGAAGATGAATATGGGTGAGTACCTCACTGGATCAGATGATTGTGTCTTTTGATGTAGCTGATATTGATTTCTCACAGCGATGGTATCCCTGTTGCTGAGCCTAGTGGTGCCTGCAAGGAACCCTTGCACTCTTCCCAACCGTAGCCTTCGCATACCTCGAGCAGCCGCTCGAGGGTCGGCATACACGGCGCCCTCTGGGTCGAAGTTGGTAAGCGCGCTATTTCATCTATCTGAATACGACAGTGTCTAATTATTTTCTAGTTGTTGAAGTTGTTAAGTTGTTGGTCTGCCATTATGTTATTTGATGGATGCAGAGTACTGGCTACTTACCTCACTGCTGCTCTCCTTATATAAGGCAAGGTTCCTGTAACCTTGGTGGCCGAGGCTGCCATGGTAAGTCCTGGTCCCTGTTCTCTCCATTGGGTGCGATGTTAACTGACGTACAGGCAGAGGAAAAGTTATTCGTACCTTGTTTACCTCGTCTTCGTCTCTCTCGAGACCTCTGTGTCTTCTAGTACTGAGTATAGTACTTCTGTGTTCACACCTTAGGTTATATCTATTAGGGTTGCTTGGTCCTTTTCCATATCTGCACCTTGCTGTATATTGTACCTCGGCTATAAATGTGATACTCCACATCAATCTTTTTGCCCCATATATGAATCCGTTGTAAGCGCGATGCTTATCTGACTTGTTTGGTTGACAGAAAAGGAGCGGTGGCAATGGTCGTGGCGACGGTGGTGATGAAGGAGCTGATTCTGTGGCGCTTGTACGCTGTGGCGGTGGTCAGTGTCAGTGGGAACCTTGCTGGCTGGTGACCTGTGTGGCTGAACTTGGTTTGGCATAAATACCTACCCTGCCCCTCCCCACTCCGCCATTCCGGTTTCATCCAAGCTTCTGTCTTGTCTTTCCCCCCAGAAACACCACTCATGCACGCCTTTATCACAGCTGGCCTTACCTCAAGATGGATTGTCGTTTCAACCTCCTGCAACTCCCTTTGGAATTGCGACAAATGATCTATCGCGCCTATTTGCTCGTCGATGGCGGGTATATCTGCGATGCTGAGGCGCTTTTCACGGGCAAGCTCCGGGGTGAGGCCAAGTGCAGGCTTACGCAAGCCGACGGAAAATCCATTGACATGGCTCTCGTTGTCACCTGCCGGGCTGTTGCGAAGGAAATGCTTCACGGCGGTTTGGCCTTGCGCGTCAACACGGTGGCTTTCTCGACCTTCTATTCTGACGAGTTCCGCCAGCGCGGTGAAAGACTCCAAGCTTTCAGGAGCAAGGACGTGGACTGCAACATATTCAACATGATGAGGAACGTTGGCAGCTGCCTCCAAGGCCCAGTGTACGATGCACTCAAAAACGCCTACCCGGTTTTCATGCCTATCGTGGAGCATTTGAGGGGCGGAAACCCGAACACGGACCTCGTGGCGCCTCCGGATTCGAATTACGGCCAGGCACCCTCGCTGTACAGGGAATTCGTAAGACTCGCCCTTCGGCTTGCGTGTCGCTACTATGTTGAGCAATTCAACGAGGCAATGAGCCAGGACTTCGCCATCCAGGAATCGCGTGGTCGGAGGTATGCGCCTGATTATCACGGCCTTGCTGCTTGCTCCATTGAGCCCTGGATTATCCCTACGGACGACGATATTGCACAAATCATGTCGTACAACGGGTGGCCAGTTCCTTCGCCCGATGATGAGGACTTCGAAATCCATCTTCCAAGGTCAGATGACCGCTCAAAATACAGGTTCTCCGCCGCCGCGTCTGCTATCTATTTCCTGGATTCCTTACCATATCACAACCGGGCGCATCTACGTAACATAATTCTGAACGAGGACCGAGAAGCCGTATCGCAACCGGCATGCCATGTTCAAGGCCTCATTCCGTTCTGCAAGGAGAACCCTCTGCTACGGATTGAACGGAGATGCAGCTTGTGGGGTAACGTCTTTCGCCCAGATTGGTTATCCGGAGACCCCGACTCTAGGGTCGATCCGGAATGGGTACCAGACCCAAAGCTGAGGTCAAACCAGGTTTCTCGAAACGTAGCCACGTGGATTATGGAGGCGTTGGTCCTGGAGCACCACGGCATGCCCCACGGCGCGTTTTCCCTTCTTCTCGACGGCGGCCCGGCACCGCAGCTGTGCGAGGAGATATTCCAGACCGTCGTCCAGCGGGACGTGGCGTGGCAGCTCGCCAGGGACGAGTCCCGCCGGCGCGGCTACCTCCCGGCCCGGACGTGGATAGAGAGGAACGGAGAACACCCGTGGCGATGGTCCTCCTACTTCAGACCCGCCGAGTCCGACCTTGGATATATGTACGAAGGGTTCCCGCGGGCCATGAGAGACGTTGCGGAGAAGAAGTCGGTCGTGCGTTGCAACTTTGACGTGGGCGTGCCGTGGGACGTGGAGCGGATCGTCGAGGAGCGTCGCGGCCGCGGCGAGCAGGAGTGGAACGAGGACTGGTTCGCGCACGACCCGCTTGTCTGGGAGACCGTTCCGCCTCTCCCCAGTTGGGCCGACTGTTTGCGGGAGGACGTCCTGCGTCCTGACGAGAATCCTCTGCCAAGAAGAAGTGGTTTCGACGAGTGGCTCGCGAGGTGGGACGAAAGTTCGGACTCGGACGACGACTGGGCTTTGTGAGCAATGGGTGGGACAGGAGCTCGGACTGCGAAGTACCGCTGATCTACTTGTGTTTGTGCCAACAAAGCAAGAGCATGCGGGCAATCTTTGGGGAAAGGAAGTCAGACAGGAAGTGGATGCGACATCGTCAGCCACCCGATCGGACGGTCAGCCCCTCAATTCTTCGCGACTTCGCATGATGGGTGGATTTCTGGAGGCGCAAATTTGGACGACATTACGGTGGGAAGAATTTGTGTCCCATCTTCTCCCGGAGTGCTTTCTCCCATTTGTCTGTTGATTTCGTTTTATTTTTGTTTCTTTTGTCTTGCGCTAGAAAGTCAGTCCCAGTAAGTGCCGCAATTTTTGTTAACAGCCAAGGTAGCAATACAAAGTCGTCCCAGCCCTGAGCCGATTTTCTGATCTCGAGGAGAGCTTCGTTTCTCGCGGTGGAACACTCGTCAACCTCGTCAATGTAAGGACCTATTCTTGCTTCTTGCCACTAATGTTTCGTGCTGATCGCATCCAGAACTTCGAGGCTGGAGCGGTGATGGTAGTTTCATACGCGCTTCTGTTTGGCTTCAATGGTCTTTTTTCTTCGGTTCCGAGGAGTAAGTCCAGTCGCCCTTTGCAAACGTGACTTGAATCGCGGCCTGTAAGTGGATGCGCGATGGCATTTAGGAGAATCTGATGATGGTGGCCCGTCCTTGCTGGGTGATTGGCAGTAATAGGACTCAGAAGGGTCTGCGGGCTTGAAGAGGCGGGCACGTCTGACCACCTTTGGCTTGGATCTTTACCAGACTCCATACATGGGCGGTGCATTTGGAGCCAGATTACGCATTATTCCCAGGCTCGATGTGGTGGCGTCCCAGAAAATGGCCTCATGTGCAAAAGCATGGCTTTTTGGCCGCTACAGACGCTGCAGCCACATCTGTTTGGGTTTGCTTACCTGCCTGTGCATGACGTAGAATAGACAATGTTGTAGTGAATGTGTTACCTGACCTGTCTTCAAATTGCCATTCTTGTGTAAAAACGGGCTCAGCTGTTTCGGATCAAGACGTACCGTACCATCCCTAACGTCCTCGCAAGGTTGACACGCTGTAGCTCGAGATTTAGTTTCTGGGACTGGTTTCTCACACCTTCACTGCGGAAGAAATTTTCAAACGATTGTGGCAGTTTGGTCTAAGACCACGTAACTGGAGGCTGATCAAAGCTTTCCTGT